ATAAAGAATTTGTTTTCACACTATCAAAACAAGAAAAAGTGTTTCATGGGCAAAAGAGACTAATTTTGAAAAAAACTGAGATAAGAATAAAACATTGTGAGAAGTTTAAAAAGCCATTCTTTCACATTAGATATTTGGTTGCATTTTCGTGAATCTCCATTCCCAAAATACCAAGAGACTCCTTACAAATACTCATATGAGGGTATATATTGAAACACACATTTGCTGATTTGTCTTAAATGTATCTGCTAACTTCCTTTATTGAATAAAAATGTGTCATGGGTTTTTACAAAAAACAACTTCACAGTTAAAGGGTTAACTATAAAAACAGCTATAAAATGTCACAAATACAAAAGCTACAGTACACATTACATTACATTTAGTTTGTGAACTTACCATACTGTTTTCTTAAATGTCATAGAACATAGACATTGGGAACATATGCTTAGCATTGAATAAATGTACTCTGCTCAGCAAGTTTAAGATTAATCACATAAATAATGTATTTGTTATAAATGCCATATTAGGAGAAATATCTTTGGTTTAAACGAGAAAGATGGCAATAAGTATTAGAATATAAAACCACAGAAAAATATCTCTGCGACACTAATTCACACTGTGTCTCATTAAATACATTTATTAAAACTCTGCAATGTTACCATCTTTTGGAAACTTGAACACTTTAATTATTAACATAAAATTTTTGTAGTAGCTATGTTATGCTCCATTGATTCTTTGTCACAAAGCCACTTCTAAAATCAAGAGACATTGTACATCAGTCTGCTATGAGTCATTGTGTGGTGTTCACCTGTCTAACTGTCTCCTTGCATAACACAGAATGGAGGCTTGTTGATAGCTAGATACTGTCATCATCGAATGCAAGATTAATAAAAAATAATTAAAAGAATGATGTTAAATTTTATTTTTTTTCGCTCAAATGCATATACAACACTCAAAAATGACCAGTGGAATGAGCTAAGTTTGTTTTGTCACCTTAATTAGGTAAATAATATGTCATTAATTGTTACTCAGAAAACAAAGGGAATTGGGGGCAAACCTAGAACATTCATTTCTCAGTAGTGCTGCAGCTGTAAGGATGAAAATATAAATACAGATTAAGGAACAGCTCACACACAAAGGCTAATTAAAGGGACACTATAGCTATCAAAACAACTAACGTAATGAAGCAGTTTGGATATACAGATCATGCAACTGCTCAACTCTCTGCCATTTAGGAATAAAATAGGGATGTGCATGGGCAAATATTTGGTTCGGTACGCCACTTTCGAAAATCGTGACTTCAGCAATTCGGCAATTCGGGAATTCAGCACTTTGGCAATTCAAGACTTCAGCAATTCCCTAACCCTCCCCTACACTCAGCCCTAACCATACCCCTAACCCTACCTCTACCCCTTACCATAACCCTAACCCTACCCCTAACCCTACCCCTAACCCTTATCCTAGCCATACCCCTAATCCTACCCCTAACCCTATCTCAAATCCTAAAGCTAACCCTGCAACCTCTGCTGCTACCTCTACCCCTTACCCTACCCCTAACCCTACCCCTAACCATGGCCTTACCTCTACCCCTAACCCTAACCCTACCTCTAGCCCTAACTCTACTACTAGGGTTAGGGGTAAGGTTAGGGGTAGGGTTAGGGGTAGGGTTAGAGGAAGGTTGGGGTAAGGGTTAGGGTAGGGTTAGGGCTAGGGTTAGGAGTAGATTCCTGTCATCATTCTCTTAATTTTCCCTCCCTCTCCTGTTTTGCCACTTGTCAGAAATCCGAAGCACTTTGGCACTTACGAAATTCGGCACTTCGGCAATTTGGTTCGGTTCGGCAAGGCACTGAGAAATTTGTCACTTTGGCAATTCGGGACATTGGCAATTCAGGACTTCAGTTCGGTTCGACACATCCGAAATTCGCCAATTCGGCACTCCGGCAATTCAGACATTAGGAAGCATCCGAATGTCCGAATTCTTGAAATTCGGCCGAATTTAAATTCGAACCGAAACGAATTGCACATGTCTAGAATTAAATCACTTTTGTTTCTGTACATGCAGCCCTAGTCACACCTCCCTTGGATGTGACTCACACAGCCTCAATGAAAAAATAGTTTTATATTTCAATCATCTCCTGCTCTGTAAATTGAACTTTAATTACCCACAGAAGGCTCCTGCAGTGTCTAGGAGTCTATTAACAAAGCAGAAGATAAGAAATTCTATATAAAAACTGACTGTGCAATAAAGAAACCTAGACTATCTAGGTTCCTTTTCAGGAAATGTTTAGGTAGGATATGTAAGTCACATGCATGCAGAAATGGCAGGGAATTGAGCAGTGAGACTGCAGGGGCATGATCTATACACCAAAATAGCCTCATTAGGCTAACATTGGTTTTCTGCCTATGGTGCCCCTTTAAAATCATCTATCTTAGCAAACAAGCATGAGGATTCATTTACACCACATGGCCATATCGTGTACACCACTGCGTCACAATACCCCTTGTAAAATGTAAAATTATATTTTTTGTGCACTTTCTCTAAATCTGTTTCGTATTAATTGTTATTTAGTCATTGCTACTCCCCAGAATATACACTGCTGTAATGTATTTGGCTGGCTGGGCATTTTGCATTTTGATATTCAGATCACTACAATGCACTGTTAAGTGAATGGACCCCTCATTGGTTCATAATATATATGTAGCATCATAATCATCTAGAAACATTTGTTTGTGTGCATTTTTAAATTTTTGTTTATTCGTAAAGCAATGCTCGTGATTCTCTGTTATATAGGGTTTCTATCCTGATTTGATTATTTCCCATAGCCAATCTGGATTTCTGTACAATTTCAGATCACTGGATTCCCTTCCATGTAAATCATTTCCTTAATATTTCACCACATCCCCCATGCAATAATTCCCTTCCCTTATATATTGCATCTCAAACTGCATTTAGGTTCAATCCATCTCTAGACAAATAACCACATGGTCGCCTGTATAATAACGGACACTTCAATATATGTATAGCTCAGGGCTGCATAAAGTAAATTCAGGATTATATATTGCTGCCTGCATGAGGCTTATTACAGCCCTGATGCAAATTGCAAACAGATTTGTAGATCAAAAATATATTGCACAGAAAAGGTTTCTTCCTGATAACAATGTGCCATTGCATATTTATTTGTTAATCATTGCTTTATTTTAAACAAATTAAACTTGTCTGGCAACTTAGATATATTTCACTTCCAGTTAGATAAAATAGATATATTAGAATCACTTTTAAAGGAACACTCCAGTGCTGCTCAGTTCCCCATTTTAGAACAGTTTGACTTGACAATGAGCCAGAAGATCCTGCTAGGAGCTTGGCTTTCAGGTAGATCCTGGCCCTCTCTATAGGCCCCGGCCCCTCTACCACTTGGCACTGCTGGTGTGGAGCAGAGCCTAGCAAGAGTGAAATGGTCTACCTGAGAGGGGAAGAGCATAGCACTGCACACTCCACCTATCTGCAGAGCACCTGGGTGGTCTACACCCACCCAGGATCGATTCTGCTCAACTGATCACGGTCTGCCAATAAGCTAAGCCCTGCACAGGCAGAGAACCTCTAGCTCCAGAATAGACAGACCCCAAAGAAAAAGTCAAGCTGCTCTAAAATGGTTTGACTACTTACAACAACACATTGTAGTGGTTATAGTTCTAGTTTCTTTAGACAACTGTTGTTCTTGTCAGTTTGCAGCTCAGCTTTTGTTGTAGAAACTTACAGGGATGTTGGCAACTGACCGTAAGCTTTCTTGATGGAAATCTGTTTGGAAGGTCTCATTCACAGCAGGTTAACTGGCTTAACACCAATTATAATATCCAAAATGTTAAACTGAGATAGCCAATCTTTGGAGTGCTAACTGCTACCAAACTAAATTATCAGCACTGGTTGTCAGCAACAAAGTCCAGCCTTTCTTATTCATGCACAAGATAAGATATTTTGTATTTACACTTTTTCTTGCTTTCTTATTTTCATATCCAATTAAGCAATTCCAGTTTATTTCTTCCCTTATTTCGCCAGTAAAATTATTTTTCTTCCAGTTTTAAACCTGGATTTGAAGTGCCCACCTGAAAAGAAAAGAGGATTTTAAAAATTGGTGGAATAGATTTTGGCATGCTTGTCAGTGTAAGGAATTTATCTCATTCATAACAAGAAAGGTTTTTTTGAATAATATTTTAGTCCTTGCTCTTCAAAACTTAGTTTCTCAAAGAAAAGGTTCATTTTTTTCATTTCTTTATTCACAGAACTTCCATTTCCAAACCATTTGTGAACATTTTGCAGTATTATAGATCATAATAGAATTATCTGGTTAAGGATTCTAGTAATTATCTCACCTTTCTTTTTACTGAATTGTAATAAAGCACTTGCTTAGTTTCTGTTAATAGTAAAAAATAAGAAGAGGGTAGTGATAGCAAAGCTTTCTTTTTGAAAACTCAGACAGGTATCCCTTCCTTTCTGCCACTCAACTAAGGAATATTAAGGGATCTAGTGATGAATGATTCATATTTCTCTCATGGGAAAGGAATGAACACCAGTTCCTGTGTTCTTCGATATGGATAATTCATCAGAGCATCAAAACCCATTGTTGTTTGATGAGTACTCTCCATAGGTTAACACAAGAACTACTCCTGTCTTCTGCAGTAGATAACCAAAAGCCACTGATGAACAGATTGCATTTTGATTACATTACTCCTGTGTATGTCATCTGTAGCATCATTGTTGGAGCACAGAGGTATAATGCACATGATTTGCAAAATCTGCCCAAGACAAAACATTTTGTAGCCAATTAAAGGAAAACAACTATACGTATTCCTAACACTATAGTGTCCCTGTCCCTACTTGTAGTCAGGTTCCCCTCAAGTGTAATAAAATGTTAAGAGAATCAAGATTTTACTTAGTTTTTTTTCGAGTATTCTGACTCAGATTGCTGTGATAGTGATCTAACCCTTGTGGGACCTCTGTGCCTGGCCTGTATAAGCAGGTACGGTCACTGCGGACAATCCTCCTCAGATAGCTGAACTCACCAATACTGGTTTCATTCAAAAGCTGGTTTATTCTGAACATCACACAACAGGAATACAGCAAAATGAATGGATTTCAGTATTATGCGGTCAAAAGATGATGCTTTCCTTAGCTTAGCATGAGGGATACAAGAGTCCCAGTTACATGAGGCAAATGCAAGCAGCCATGACACAGGAAGTACCGCCAGAGCAGGGGTGGAGTTTTACATACAAGGAAATGATGTATCATGCTCACAGGAGGAACAAGGGCATTACCAAAAAGGGCCAGAAGGAGGCAGCAAATACCTACCTATAGAAAAATACAAGGTAAATAAATCACAGAATATGCTAGGTAAATTGCATCTACAATAATGAGAATATTAACTGTGTAACAGCACACTCCCCGTCTGACATTGTAAATGTCACTATTTTATACCATAACGGTAGTTATACAAGTGCAAATAAACAACAGTGCAATTTGCTTGATGTCTTGAGAACGTGAAAGACATAAAGAAAAATCATGCAAAAAATGCAACAACTTCAAGTTAACATTAACGTCCAAGACTCTTCCTTCTTGAAATCAAAGGTAGGGACAAGCAACATACGCAAGTAAGTTCATTCTCCAAAGGGCAAGAGCAGAATAAGTTCAGTGATAGGTCTGATGAAGGTCTTTACAGTCCCTTGTCTTGCAACTTTCACCTCCACCTTGCGTACCTTGCCATCATCACTAGGAACACTCTTTATAATAAGTCCCATAGGCCACTCGAGTCTCCCAGCTTGTTGATCCTTGAGCAGAACAAGATCTCCAACTTTAATGTTAGGATTTGGGTGTTGCCATTTCCTGCGTCCTTGCAAAGTAGAAAGGTATTCCATCTTCCAACGATTCCAGAAGCAGTTGGCGAGGTGTTGCACTCGCTTCCACTGGTCATAGCGCGAGTTTCCTGAGTTAAAGTTTCCGGGTGGGACAGGAATGGACCCAAGCTTTTGGGTAAGCAGAGTAGTTGGGGTTAGGATGGTTGGATTCTCTGGATCTGTTGACACTGGAACCAGTGGTCTGGAATTAATTATAGCAGATGCCTCTGCCATAAAGGTGGTTAGAACCTCGTGGGTAAGTCTTGTGCAATTTGAGTCCATAAGCATAGAGTCCAGTATTCTACGTGTAATGCCAATCATCCTCTCCCATGAGCCGCCCATATGGGAAGAATGAGGGGGATTGAATATCCATGTACAGCCTTTTTGAGCTAAGAAGTCTTGGATTGGTCTAGAGTTGAGCTCTAACTCTCGACAGGCTCCAACGAAATTAGTACCGCAATCAGACCTAAGTGTCTTGACTGGTCCTTTGATGGCGAGAAATCGTCTCAAAGCATTGATGAAGCTTGAAGCATCCATAGATTCTATTACTTCAATGTGTACTGCACGCACACTCATGCAAGTAAACAACGCTGCCCAGCGTTTGCTGTTTGCTTGACCACCTCGAGTTCTGCTGGCTGTTACCATCCATGGTCCAAAAACATCCAGACCAACATGAGTGAATGGTGGGTCAGTACTTAACCTGTCAGTTGGTAGATCTGACATTTGCTGTTGCGGATGTTTACCTCTTAGTTTGCGGCAGTGAACACAGCTGTGCAGTATAGCTGTAATTTGTCTTTTCGCTCCTATGATCCAAAGGCCTGCAGCTCTTATGGCACCTTCAGTGAAGTGTCTACCTTGGTGCTTAACCCCTTCGTGGTAGTGCTGTATGAGCAGAGTGGCAATGTGATGGCGAGCGGGCATAATGAGAGGATTCTGTTCTTTCTTTCCCAACTCGGCCTTGTTTAAACGTCCACCAACTCTTAACATACCATCATTATCAATGAATGGGTTTAGATTAGCAATTGCACTGGTTTTTGGAATATCCCTCTTGTCACGGATACATTTAATGTCTGGGCCAAAGACTTCCTGCTGTACAATGCGTATTATGACCATTTCACCTTCAGCAATGTCCTTTGCAGAAAGAAACTCTTGACATATGTGCCAACCTTGACATTGAGGATCAGTGAGCTTTGTGTGAAAGCAGCGTGCAATGTGGAATAACCTTGTGATGGTGCGTACAAGTTTTATCCACTTGGAAAATCGTTCAAATCGCTGACAATCCAAGTTGAGTCTTTGTTTAGTTTGAGTGACGAGGGTTTTCACTTCTGGACGAATCTCTGGATCTTTGTCAGGTTCTAGGATACTGAAGACATCAGCTGTGGTTTCTTCTGGCTGATCCAGCAGAAATTCAGGACCTGTTATCCAAGAAGAATTAGCAAAGGCACTTGCAGATACTGGCCTGGTGGCATGATCTGCAGGGTTCATCAGCGCGGGCCTCAATAAGCTTATCATTTAATATTGAATTTCTGGAGCGAGAGGATCGAGAAGAAGGTGCAGTGCGCTTGGTTGAGGTGGATCTGTGAGATCTGGTCTCCAGCAGATGAGCTATGCGGAGCTCTGCCTTAAGCTTAGCATTTTGCACTTCAAGATCCCTTTGTCGGTTTAGTGCATTGGTCCTGGTCAGTTCTGCTGAAGAGTCCTGCAAGAAGGCTGAGTATTTTACAGACAACCGCTTATAGCGTTCATATGCGGCACATAGGCGATTTACAGAGTCTCTTAATTCAGCCGGTTGATCAGTAAAATTTGCCAAAACTGACATGCAGTGTGAGGTTCTGTCCCAGAGGTCTGACAGATTACTGGAGAACTCATCTCTAGTTGCTTCATAGTTTTCTCTGAGTTTCTGTGTCGGTTTTATTATACGTTTGGCTTTTACATTTTGTTCTGTAATATCTGCTGGATCTGTTCCCTGTGCACCTTCTGGTTCAGAGGCATGATGCATCTGTATTGTTTCTGCCATAAAGGAGTGTTCAGAGCGTTGGCTAGACATTTTATATTGTTTTGCAGAAAATGGTACTGTCTCTTTAAGAAACCACACAGCAGCTTAGACGGGTAACACAGTTCAGTGTAGAGAAACAGCTTCAATGTTCACATGAAGTGCAGTTAGAATGCAGTAAGAACAGATCATATGCAGTGCAGTGAGCTTCAGCTACCATGCGCTTCACAAGATGGGGATGGGACTGAGCTAGATTGTAAATTATGCTCTCACATATACACAGCAGCTGCAGGAATTCTATGCATCTTTTGACTATTCTGACTCGGATTGCTGTGATAGTGATCTAACCCTTGTGGGACCTCTGTGCCTGGCCTGTATAAGCAGGTACGGTCACTGCGGACAATCCTCCTCAGATAGCTGAACTCACCAATACTGGTTTCATTCAAAAGCTGGTTTATTCTGAACATCACACAACAGGAATACAGCAAAATGAATGGATTTCAGTATTATGCGGTCAAAAGATGATGCTTTCCTTAGCTTAGCATGAGGGATACAAGAGTCCCAGTTACATGAAGCAAATGCAAGCAGCCATGACACAGGAAGTACCGCCAGAGCAGGGGTGGAGTTTTACTTACAAGGAAATGATGTATCATGCTCACAGGAGGAACAAGGGCATTACCAAAATGGGCCAGAAGGAGGCAGCAAATACCTACCTATAGAAAAATACAAGGTAAATAAATCACAGAATATGCTAGGTAAATTGCATCTACAATAATGAGAATATTAACTGTGTAACAGCACATCGAGCACTGAGGCTCTCTCAATGCTGCTCAGCTCTGTGCCTTACACAACGTCATGGAGTTGTGGAGAACATTAACTTGCAAACTTTACTTCTAAATCAATGACATGGCAAGAAAAGTAAAACTGGAGATCTGTACAGGTCAATTAATTTTAATACTCATCATCAAAGTATCACAATTCACTATTTCAAGATGAAGTACCTTGGTGTAACCAACAATGCAAAAATAATTAGGCAAGTGTAATTAATGCAACATCTACACTAGCATTCATATTATTATTCTATGTGAGAACTGAGGAGTTGTTTAAATTGTACTAAATTTCAAAGGAACATTAATTTCTCATTTTAGAGCAACCATTGTGGTTGGAATTGTTGAAAGGATTGGCAAATGTTTCCAACATTCTCATGATCAATGGTCATAACAAATGTACGGCAAACATTCTGATGGGAATCTGGATTAATTCCATGGCAGTCAATGACATGGACATTACAAGATAAGTCTAGGGGTAAATGTACATTGATCCTGTTGTGTTTTCTTAATTTAAGTCTACAATGTGAATGTACTTTAGTCCTGGTATAATTCTGTGATCCCTATATGTTAGTCCAGATGGTGAATGCATATATGCCGTGCTGTGCTCCATCAAGTAATATAAATGTGTGTTTGTTCAAATAGTATGTTGCGCATCTCATCATAGGTCCATGATGACAGTGCACACTTGTCCTGGTAGAATATTGTGCTGTTTTAATGTAAATCCATGCGAGGAATGTACTTGTCCTGAGAGACATGCTTTGGGTGTCTTTGGGACTTGAAGAATTTTGCCAAATCCAGAGCAATTTCACCTAGCACATTCTTGTACCACAACTAATACAATATTCAGTAGTGGTTCTGGTGCTTAGAACATCCTTTTAAAGAAACCGTAATCAGAAAATGTGTGTATATAAACCAAAGTTCAGTGAATTATATGTTTTCCTAAACAGAGATCATTTCATTTAAATTCACAATCTCTAGGTTATAGACAAAATAAAAAAAAAAATGTACAAGAAGAAGCAATGACTGTAAGGCTGTCTAAAAATAGATTGTTTTCTAAAAGCTGAGGTTTAGCACCAGAGTTAAGTAGCTATTAAAGATAGTAGACGGCTAAAGAAATCAATATATTCATGCCAGTTCGAATCTTATTCTTACCGGTCCTCATCTCAAAAACTGGAAACAGAATTTATAACGTGCTTTCTGCTGTGCAAGGCTTGAAGCTGCTCCAATCTGAAACCTTAGTAAAAACAAATCGGCATTTTTCTGCAGCTTCAACTCCTGAATGAAGTCTTCATTGAAGTCAACAATCAGGCCCAAAAATATTGAAACTAAGTGCACTCACTGGGTTTTTTAAAGAGTAGACCCATTTATTCTGTTAGTATATTATCATAGAGGTCACCAGTAACTGCATGCATTCCCTATAGCTCTTTAGCCCCATCTATGTATACAAATGATGTTGCTAAACGTTACTTGGGACTAAAGCGGCACTGTCACTGTCTGAGGACTTTGCCGCATTCGCAAATACCACCGACGGTGACATTGCCATTGGGGGTCAGGTGGTCAGAAGGGGCAGGCAAAGGTGAGATTTACTCACCGGAACCTTTTTCTTTTCAACTCCTGAACCTTCAGCTCCAAGAACCAATGCCAATGCTGTACTCTCACGCATGCACTAGAGTGTCCAAATTGCCCATAATGCTGCAATGTTAAACATAGCAGTTCCAGAGAAACTGCAGTGTTTACATTGCAGCACTAAGTCTGCCTACAGCATACTGTCCACGGGTTGCTCTTCTTGGATCATAATGGACCTTTGGTCCCGTAAC